TCAGTCGACGTTCAAGCGCTACCAGCAGGACGCGGTCGACTGGATCGCGACGTCGGCCGACGAGCTGCCGGTGGAGGAGCGGCCCGCGCCGGGCGCGAAGTTTTTCCCGCGGCACTTGCGCCTCGACACGTCGGAGCGGAAGCGCGTCGACGTCCTGGCCCGGGCGCCGGTCGGGAACCCCAAGGTGGCCGTCCCAAAGAACTTCGACTACGAAAAAATGTTGAGAGATTGTCTTTTTACGATCCCTGAGGGGCGAACCGACTCCCGGCGGCGCTGGGAAGAATTCGTCCGCGAGAGGCCGAAGACGTCGGCGGCCATCGGCGCCGTCTTAGCCCGAGACATCGTCTACCACTGCGGCACGTCGGCGACGACGATGACGCCGCAGCAGGCCGTCGCGGACGCGGCCGTGCACGCGACGGCGCCGATGCCCGTGACCAACGACGCGGCGGACGTCCGCGCGCGCGCGCAATTGGCCGCCGCCCGCCGCGCCGCGTCGACCAACGCGTCGCACGCGGCGCTCACCGTCGGCGGCGTGGTCCTGTCCGTCTACGTCGACGAGAACGACAAGCTCCGCTTCTCGTTCGGCGACGTGTTGAAAGCGCGGCACCTGCGCCCGGGATCCGCGGCCGTCGCGGCGCGATCTCTCGAATTTTCGACGCCGCGTAGGTCAACAAGCGCTCGGCCCGCGTCCAATGGCGCCTGCCCTCGCCGCTGGTCGACGACGATTGCGTGGAGTCCGGGGGCGGCTTCTACCGGCTCCCCGGCACGGAAGACGAGCGGCACGAGGAGACGACCGAGCAATTGGAGACCCTGACGACGGGGGTGATTTTGACGAAAGAAGGGAAGATCAGCCGCGCGGGCGGCGACGCCAACTTGAAATTTTTCCAGCAGGCGCTCAAGAAACGCGTCGCCGACGCCAGCGGCTGATCTGCCGGCGGATCGCGCCGGGCCCCGGGGGGACGCGCGCGCGATCCGCAACTAAGCAGACGGGACAAGCCGTTACGTGACGGGGACGGGGCAGCGGCGCTCGCCGGCAATCGCGCGGAAGCCTCGGAGCTCCACGCGACGGGGGGGGTTCGCGGGGCGAGGTTCAGGAGTAGTAGTGGGCGGGCGGCGGCGGCGGCCCGTGGCCCGGCGGCGGCCCGTGGCCCGGCGGCGGCCCGTGGCCCGGCGGCGGCCCGTGGCCCGGCGGCGGCCCGTGGCCCGGGCGCCGGTCGTAGCGGTCGTACTGGGCCGAGCCGTGGTCGTAGGGCGACGCCATGCGGCCGCTGGGCTGGAGCGGGTGCGTCGACGGGCCCAGGGGCTGCCGGCCGGAGCCCTGGTAGTCGCCGGGCAGGCTCCGGCGGGGCTCGGCGTCCGGCGCGCCCTGGTAGCCCGGCTGGCCCGTGTTGAACGTCGCGCCGTCGTACATGCCCCGGCAGGCCGCGTGGTACTCGAACTTGATCGGCGCCCCGCTCGACGCGAGGCTCTTGAAGAGCGCGCCGAGGTCGCCGCTCAGCGGCGGCGCGGCGGCCGCGGCGTCCGGGCCCGCGCCGCGGACGATCATGGCGCCCTGGTCGTAGCCGCAGCTGTCGCGGCTGTGCGGCGGCGGGCCGTAGCTGCCGCGGTCGTCGTCGTTGCGGTCCCGGCCCCGGGGCACGGGGCCGCGCGAGTAGCTGTCCCGGCCGCTGTCGCGATCCCGGCGGTCGTCGCGGCCGTAGCCGCCGTCGGCGCCGCTGCCCCGGCCGTCGCCGCCGCGGCGGTCGCCGTCGCCGTCGTAGCTGCTGCGGTCGCGGCCGTAGCTGCTGCGGTCGCGGCCGTAGCCGCCGTCGGCGCCGCTGCCCCGGCCGTCGCCGCCGCGGCGGTCCTGGCGGCCCGGGGAGAGCTGGTCCCGGAACGGCCGCGAGCCGGAGCCGCCGCGCGGCGCGGAGCCGCTCCGCGGCGGCTTCTCGGACCCGGCGGCGGGGCCCTTGGGCGCCAGGCCCGTGGGCTGGATCTTCTTCTGGCCGCCGATGGCCTCGAAGAGGAGCCGCTTCATCTCCGGGAGGCTCACGTTCGTCGGCACGTCCCACGCGGCGCAGGCCGCGCGGACCTCCTCGGCCTTGAGCTTGTCCCGGACGTGCGTCCAGGACGGCGCCGGCACCAGCTCCTTCTTCCAGTTCTTGGCCGCCGACTCCGACGCCGGCTTGGCCGCGCGCGCGCGCGCCGGCCGCGCGGCCTTCGCCTCGGGCGCCGCCGGGGGGTCCGGCGGCTCGACGCGCTTCCGCGCGCGCGGGATGAGGCCCTTCTTCCACGTCTCGTACGCCGAGAAGAACTCGGCCGCCTCCGGGGACC